CTGAGGGTGAAGGGCGGCCGGCGCGTAAGGCTGACAACCTTACCGCCATCTTTGAGCGGATTGTTTAGATAATGTGGGACCCTCAACGTCTCACAACCCTATGGACCTTCACGGCCTGTTACAGGGTTACCTTTTATTGTTATGACCAGTTTACTGATGATATTAAATTAAACATATTTATTTTATTAGTTTACAGTATTTTTATCAGGTCTTCGATAGATCTTATTATAAATCAGCTATCAAGCCGTAGTAATATGTTAACCGAAGTTTTCAGGTTTTACAAATTTCAAAAATAGGTTAATATAAGTGACAAAGTATGAGAAGACTTTGGAGGCTTACACGTAGATGGAAGAATAGTATTAAAAATGAATAATAAGGAAATAGGGTGTGAGATTCTGAATTCAACTGGCTCTGCATAATGCAAATTACTGGGATCTTTTTAACACGATAATGGAGATCCAGCTTCCACATAAGAGAAGGGAGTTTTTTTAAGAGACCATTAGATCCTCAAGATGAACTCTCACTCGGAGATCGGTTATCCGATGCTGAATGGAGGAGGCGGGCTATTTTGTGGCTGCCATCAAAACTCCCTTAGATGGCCGATCATTGATCTCGATGGTTGGAACTCGATCAGGGTATGGATGTATGTAAGCATTTTCTTTTTGGCCTTACACAAACATAGGTCTTGTCACTGATCGATTCACCATTGAAGGACATTACAGAATACATAAGGGATCAAAAGAAATGGAAACCTCTGCACTATCAAAAAGTTGGTAGAAGAGGAGGGGGCTAGGAAAAAATGAAGCGACATGACAAATTCTCTTGATAAGGAAGGAGGTCTAGAGTTTGATTTAGCAACTTTGAACTTCCAACCGACTTTACCTCTTTCATGTTTTATCTATTCGAGATCTGGAAATAGAGTGCGTATCTCCTGTTAATGTTATGAAGTTTCTGTTGTTATTTGTTGGTCCACCCGAGCTGGAGTGGGCACGTAGGAAGAAGGAAACCACGTGAAATTTAAGTCAGTTTGAGAGGCGCTATATAATGATTCACGTAATGAGCCTAATTAATGCCGCTGCTCTCTTCTCTCCGCCTTCTGTCACGGGCCTTTAGCTATAGTTTCTTCCTATCAGATTCAAAGCGAAACTTCTAACCCAAAATCACAGAATGTTCCATAATTTCTGTACCATTTCTCTATAAAGTGGCTCGAGAATATGTCAAAGAACTGAAGAAATTATCATATATACATAAGGGTAGTCAAATGAAAACGGGTCACCACGCATAACTCACACGGCGCGCAAGTTGGTAACACTGGAATTTGCTTACGGTACGAGCATCTGGCGGGGACTCGGGAAAGCACAGTGACAACCTGCCCTTGCACACTAGCCGTTTGTTTATTGTGCTGGAAGTAAGGTTACGTGTGGTCGTCCAACATCAGTAATGGAGGCGGGTAAAGAAGAATAGCGAAGTGTAGTGCGCTTTTTGACTGCTGAAGGAGTAGGAGGACGAGAAATTCATTGTTGCATGTCTGTTGTTTACGGCGAACACAGCATGTCACGTTCGCGTGTGCTGGCATGGCATAAGAGATTCCAAGAGGGACGTGTGTTACTGCAAGAAGATGCTCGCCCAGGACAGGCTCATCGTGTCATCACTCCTGCTGTTGTTGCTGCGTTGCATGGTCACATACGGGCAAACCGACAGATCACTGTGGAAGAAATTAGTCTTTTGATGGGAATAAGTCACGGTTCCGTACACGCCATTGTGACAAAACACCTGCTGTACCGCAAAATCTGCGCGCAGTGGGTTCCACATCAACTCACGGTGGAACAGAAGACTCAGAGAATGGCTGCATCACTGGGTCACTTGCAACGATACCATGAGGAAGAGTATGCTTTTCTGTCCCTTATTGCCACTGGGGACGAAACTTGGTGCCACCATTTTGAACCCGAGAGCAAACGGCAGAGCCAACAGTGGAAACACGTGAATTCTCCCCCACCGAAGAAATCCAAAGCCGTACACACAAGTTCCGGTAAAGTGATGATGACGTTCTTCTTCGACTGCAAGGGCCCTCTGCTTGTCGAATTTCTCGAGCATGGGGCCACAATCAGTGCACAGTGCTATGAAGACACTTTGCAGAAACTGAGACGTGCCATAAAGTCAAAACGCCCTGGAATGCTACCGAACGGCATTACCCTTCTTCATGATAATGCGCGCCCCCACACTGTCAACTCTGCG